TGTGGTTTCTGTAGTTGTACATTTGTCACAATAAAATCTGTATCTCTCTGGTTTAAGTTAGCTAAATCCTCTCATCACTATTCCAACTGGTCAATCAAGATATTTAATATCTAATAACACTTGAAAAATACAGAAAACACTGAGGTTGATATCGTCACCTCATGGAGAAGACTAAAATCAGAAAGCCTCAAGAATTCTCATGAAATACAGTGAACTGCCTTTGGCCCTTGAACTTATATGAAGAAGTAAGTATATAGGTTCATTATTTACCATGAAAACTAGAAGCAATGGGAAACAACTTGCATTCAAAAAGCACCTAAATGAACTCTAATACAAAATACACACTTCCATAGATGTCTCTTTTTACATTGAAATCTAGATAAGTGAAAAAAAATCCCTGGAAGGTGAACATAAGGAATTCAAAACCCCAAATCAATGTAACAAAATGTTCCTGTGTCTTAGTAAGATTAAAGTCACCCCCCCCCCACACACATAATAGAAGTGACAGCATGTGTTTCTTTGTACCGTGCTGAATGGCGAGGCTGAGGCAGACCCTTCCAACACTTTCCACGCTCTCCGGCCGGTCCCGGTGGGCGGAGGACCTCCGTCCCTCCTCCCACCTTCACTCTCTCACACGAGCAAACAACATGCAAATGAGGTAAGGGGGCAGATGCTCGCGTGCCTTCACAATCTCTCTGACCTTCCGACACACGCCAAGACTCCCCTCGGCCCACCGAGGGGAAGCTGGAGAGAAGCTGCTAGCCACTTAGAAGAGTCTAAATCATCTATTGGCTACGACTTGTTTTTAACAGAACTGCATTGGAAAGTCCTATAGGTGTACTATATGTGTAATAACATATCAGGTGTAGAGGATTAGGGTTAGGGTTATATATAGGGTTATATATATATATGTATATACAGTGGGGGAAATAAGTATTTGACCCCTTGCTGATTTTTCAGGTTTGCCCACTTACAAAGAATGCAACGATATATAACTTTAATCATATGTACATTCTAACAGTGAGAGACAGAATCCCAAAGAAAAAACTCCAGAAAATCACATCATATGAATGTATAAAAATTGATAAACATCTGATGAGGAAAAATAAGCATTCTTTGTAAGTGGGCAAAACTGCAAAATCAGCAAGGGGTCAAATACCCACTGTATATATATATATATATACAGTGTTGGGTAAGTTACTTTAAAAATGTAATCCGTTACAGTTACAAGTTACCTTGTTTAAAATGTAATTGTAGTGTAACTTTTTCAATTACTTTTAAAAAGTAATGTAACTAATTACTTTTGATTACTTTTTGATTACTTTAGGGTTTTAATGAGTATTAACCCATGATTAATTTTAGCATGTTATTATTAGCTATTGGCCGCAGCTAGTAGTTCAAGGCTAACGTCTTGTTAATGATCAGAAACAACGGAAATAAATACGTAAATAAATCGGAGACAAGCGACAGCAGGTCAGTCGTATCCGGATACAACATTTTAGTATCTATACTTTTTTAAGTATCGATACTGTTGACAACCCTAGTCTGAAATGTAGGACATGTCCGTGAAAAAGAGGACGTCTGGTCACCCTACAGTTGGCTAGGCTAGGTAGTCTAGGCTAGGCTAGGTCATAGACATCGATAGACGTTTTTCATGCATCAACAACAAACAGTCAAATATTAGTAAATCAATACGCTTCGTCTATCAGTGAAAGTTTTTCTTTATATTTTTAAAAAAATGTAACTAAATTTGTAATTCTTAATATTTTCGGAAGTAACTGTAACTGAATTACATATTTTCTCATTGTAACTGTAACGAATTACAGTTACTCTTTTTTTGTAATTAAATTACGTAACGTCGTTACATGTAATCCGTTACTCCCCAACACTGTATATATATATATATATATATGTATATTAAACTTTTGCACATTGCAGAATTGCAGTTTTTACTTTTCTATATTTGATTTGAGTCTGTATTTGGACATTTCAAAGCTTTTTTTCCACTCACTTAAGCAATAAGAGGGAAACCTACAAGAATAAGAATAAGTTTGAGTTTTTTTATTTTTATACGTTATCTTCTACAAGTGCTCACACACAACCCCGACTCTGCTTCTTGCAGGGTTCCCCTCCTCCATCCCAGCCGTCCTGCCTCCACCTGCTAGGCCGGCTTTGTCTCGGGGATCTCATTTCAATGACAAAGTTGCGGAGCCTCTCACCCTACAACCCCATGGCCCTAAGCCCAATCTCTGGACTTTCTTTTTGGTAATTTTATGGTCCCCCGGGGGCAAAGTCTCTGCCTCTACCCACCAACTGGTCCTGGGAGATGGCTGAGGTGAGGAGACGGCTCCTTCTGCCCTTTTCCACGCACAAAAAAAACCCGATCGCAGACGAATGCACAAACGCACACTTTGAAAAATGGCCGCAGCATCATCACCTTCATCTTCAAGAAGATTTTTTCCCCGCTATCTGCAGGCCTATGAGACTGTTATATAGCATTAGGACCATAATGGCATTCCAATGACACATTCTGCTGTGATTAAAGAAAGTTCCTGGCAGAAATCAGTGTAACGTTTTATGTTGAGCCTCTCCTTTTTGGAATCTTTTTGCAGTGGGAATAGTTCTGGTGCTTGTTCCGCACTCGTAATGCCATTAGGGCACCGCCAGCTCCACACTGGCTGCTTAGGGAACGGTAATCGCTTGGGCCACTGGGCTGTAGCCTGTTATATGTTTCAGGATTCTTTCATTTGTAGACTATTGTAGATTTGCCAGCTCCCCAGACGAATAAGAACGTGTTGTAGACACAGATTGACACTGTGCATTATGACTTTTTAAGACTTTGTGCAAAGATAAATAGGATGCCTTAACTGGAAATTAGGTCACATTGGTCAAAAACCATATACAGAATATCTGTATTAGTATTTGCCACATGCAAAAACCATGTGAATAATGGAAATTGCCTAACTTTAGATTATTAAAATAGAGAGAAATAAGCAAGATTTGTTTATTTAAATCATATTTCTTGAATTTCCCCTTGGGGATCAAGAAAGTGTCTATCTATCTATCTATCTATCTATCTATCTATCTATCTATCTATCT